GTGATCGCAGGTATACCTCACCAGCCGCAGTTAAGTGTTATAACGTCAAGTGCGTCCGGGTTATTCCACCGAATACGTATTCACTTCACTGCACGACCGCTAACACTGATCATCCGACACGATCACTTAATGTATTTTTAATCGAACGTGTTGTTCCTACGTTAGAAAAATTGGTGGCCCCGAAACGGACCGATTGTTTTCAATTTATCGCATGTTTTGCGTAGTCAAAACACTTTCACAGCAACAGCTGCATATCCGTTATTCTATGCGTACCACCGGAACATTTCGTAATACTCCCGTGAACTGAACATCTCTGTCGCCCGATTGTTAACCGACTAACAGAATTTTTCCGAAAGGGCTTCCTCTACCCCCAAGTAGTTTCTACTTCAACAAGATTTAGGTAAAAAGAAACCAGCGTTCTAGGAAAACACGTGCTTTGCAGAAGTGCAACGAAAAAAATTTCACGGACACATGTTGAGTTGACGCTGCTTAGCCTTGTCCGAGCACCTTAGCAGAGGCCGGCGCGGACGTTTCGCTACAGGGCGCAGGGAACTTTTATTAAGCAGCGTCAACTCAACATGTGTACGTGAAATTTTTTTTCCTGCTCCTTGAAGAAAACGTAGTTTCTGCTTTCTATCTCGAAGCGATGGTATCCTGGCAGTAAATTAACGGAGCCCGCGCTTCGGTGAAACTGCACGACGGTTTGTTCATTGCACTTTTGCAAAGCACGTGTTTTCCTAGAGCGTTGGTTACTTTTTACTTAAATCTTGTTGCCGTGATGGGAGTGGACTCACAATGTAACGATGGGAAACTCCTTGGGGGTAGAGGAACACTTACGGAAAAATTCTGTCAGTCGGTTAGCAATCAGGCAACAGAGATGTTCAGTTCACGGGAGTATTACGCAATGTTCTGGTACTACGTACAGAATAACGGATATGCGGCTGTTGCTGTGCAAGAGAACATCTGATAAATTGAAAACAATCGGCCCTTTTCGGGGCCACCAATTTTTCTAACGTAGGAACAACACATTGGATTAAAAATACATCAAGTGATTGTGTCGGATGATCAGTGTTAGTGGTCGTGCACTGAAGTGAATACGTATTCGGTGGAATAACCCGAACGCACTTGACGTTACAACCCTTAACTTCGGCTGGTGAGGTATACCTGCGATCACCTGCGAACTGGGCGATACCCTGCCATAAACCGTTTCGGCCGTCGATGACCAGGATCGGTTCAGTGACCTAGTGACACAGATTTGCAAACTGCAGGTGAATTTCCGAAAGGGTGAGTTCTAATCAATTTATTGCTGATTATTATTTTTTTAATTCAACGCAAGCTATGACTTATTTCCGGCGACAATTCTGCAAGTTTCTGTGCCTAAATTGTTCTTTGGGCTTTTTGATGAAACTTATTCATTATCAGTAACATTGTTGCCCGTTATTAAACTACGAATTTTTATGCCAATACCGAACTACGATCACTTCTCGTTCATTCTCTGTTACATTAACTTTTCGTTAATACGTTATTTGAAAAGGAAATTTACAAATTCCTTAGCCCCTCTCTACAAATAATTATTAGTTTCCATTCTGTTTCAAAAAGTAAACGTGCCTTCGTCTTTTTACGTTACACATAATTTGCCCACATTTATGCTTCATTCATTAATCTCTTTAAATAACAAACGACAGATGATAAAAAGTATGATTTTCCTTGTTACGTCTTTTTTATTTGCTATTATACACAGTTTCCTGCGATGCATGCTGACCTACTTGTTCGGAGCTTCGTAGTATAAGCGCGACGCGTAGCCACCGCTAGCGCGGGAATTCGGCTGGCAAACTCGCGCTCTGATTGGTCGGGGTTTTTCGTTAATATCTCGGTAACGAAGCCTCAGATTACATTGTTGCTAAGGAAAAAGTTGTTCCAATTGACCCCCCGAGTGCCCCATTTCCGGGTCGGACAACATTTTTGTTAGACCCTGTATACACAAATAATATGTTATACTTACGACCCTACTAAACTTTCATATAAAAATCTATTAGATTTAATTGTAATAGTTTAGAAAACTCTTTGTTGGCTGGAAATTTCAACGGTAATGAACTTCTAAAAGCTATTTCAATGGTAGAGGCCATTAAACTAGGTGCAATCGTACGCATGGATGAATACGTTATTATTTCATTATTTCAAAAGAAGTAATTAGGAATTTCAGAGATTTTGAAAGAACTTTAGCCGATTGAAAAGCAGTATAACTGTGAGTACAAGTCAACCAACGTCCGACGTTACGCTTACCACGTAAGGGCCATTCGGTCATAGACACCGACCCGTGGTCATGCTGTGTGGAGAAACCACGAACGTAGAACGGCACAGAGCAGTCGAGGTTAAAACCACGAGGAGCTGAATCAACAAAGTCACTGGCAAGTAACACACTAATAATAAGACGCTAAAATATATAATAACAAAACATATCACCACTCTAAATTTAATATGATATTAGTGTCACTATTATTGCTACGATAAATCATAATAAAATGAAGAAAACACAAATGATTATACTATGGTAGCAATTATAATAATAATAGACACATGATAAACTTAAATAAAAAGTGTGAAAAGGTTTCTTTCTGAACAAATAAAGTTACTGCTGAACTATACCTAATTTTTATTCTTTTGCAGGTCACCCTATCCACAGGAAGTAAAGAACAACGGCGACCGCGGCATAGAATAGTAAAAAATACACAGACACGAAGATCGTGATTAGCAACTGACAAATTCTTCTCACGTCCATGGTTGCTCGTCACACTTGGATGCCTCAAAATCACTCATAACTATAGACATAGCACCGTAACACGTTTCAGCACTGTCAAATGTACAAATCTATGCTGCTCTCATTTTGGAATATTTTCCAAGAGAAGGTAAGCATTAGTGAAAAATATGATAATTAATAAATTCGAAGAGAAGCTGGCACTGATGGAAAATAGTCGAAATAATATAGTTTGTTTTGCTTTAGTAAACAGTGTTTCTTTCCTGGTTTGTTTATATTTCTTAATATGTATATTCGTCGCACGAACACTGACACGAGACTTTCTTGTAATATCGCTGATTTCGTACTCGACAACGATACGGAAGTGGCACGGTTTTCAGAACGGTGATCACGTTATTTCGTAGCTTACGGGTTTCATGTGAACTAAAGGTTTCAGAAATCGATGCATTTATCGCCGTCGAGGACAGTGTAGACTCTTATCTATGTCAGAATAATTATTTTTACTTAATTTACCTGTGATAATGAAAATGATGTAAGTAAAAAAAACCAATCAAATTGAGTTTTTTCTTACTTTATGGTCATTAGGAATTCAGTGACTGTAATTATTTAAGGTCACGGAAAAAGGGTGGTTCCGTTTAAAAAAAAAAGAAGGTGACCTTGATATCTCTAAAAACAAATGACAAAAACAATTTTTTGGCATCGTATGATCCCCATTGAACCATCCAACTTTGTCCTTAAGACATTTTATGTATATTTACAAACAACAAAGATATTTGAGGTGCAAACGTTAGGTGACTCACGCTGTATAATAACATCTATTTATATTTCAATATTATAAAAGACGTTTCGAAATGAAAAATAGATGACTACACCACTTTCGTAATCACTGACACAAACAGTGGGGGACAAAAGTATTCGTACACCCTTTAAAATAGAACAACTCTTTCGAAATTGGACCAAGTGACTTGAGTTTCTTTGTGAACATAGAAGGGTTAGTGTACTAAATGATGTATTAACAAAATGTTGAAAAAGTTGCAATTGGTCGGAATCGCGAAGAAAATAGTAAAGGTCGCTTTTGCGACTTTTTTTATCTGAGATTGTAATGAAAATTTAAGAAATACATTGCTTAGATTTATGTTAGTTATATACATGCTGAAAATTTCATCGAAATCGGTTAACATTGTTATGAGACACAAATGGTTAAAAATGTTGAAAATGTTGCCTCTGATTAACCCTTTATTACTAAACTATCGTAAAAATTATGACCTCGACTTCGCTGAATAATTGCTGCCTTAATTTTGCATTATTCTTAAATCTGACTATCATAAATACTTAAACGAAGATTTCTATATCATTAAAAATAATATTTTTGTAAAACATTGTGTTTCCTTTCAGTCGTAATTTTACGAATCATTAGTATTGTAATAACCAGACAGTGGATGTTTATGCATTTATAGCATCCTCTGACTTTCAAAACGTAGCAAAATAGACAGTCCAATAAAATTTAATATTATTTATGCATTATTATTAACTTTGTAAAACCCATAATATGAAAAAGAAATTTCTGTCCACTTGTGTTTTATCTATATTAGTATCCAAAATTATAAATTTGCATAAACATTCGCTGTCTAGTAATAACGTAAGTCACAGTATCAAGTGGACTCTTGATATATTGCCGTGGTCAGTATTGGTAAAAATTAAACTACAGGTATAGTTGGCTCAAAGATATAGTGTTAGCAATACACTTGATCAAAACGCACAATTAACCTCGTTTTTTAGATGTCCCCAAAGAAAGTAGTCAAGTGGCGTTAAGTTCAGAAAACGGTTGTAAGTGTACAGATGTTACATTCACGTCAAATTTTATACAACAACAAAAAAACTCAAAGTAATCTTCGTATCTCAATAGAAAAGAAAAGTAGCAGAAAATTAAATCTTGCATTGTGTACCCGCCTCGATACCATATAACTTTTCCTCGAAACATTTTCTCATATAACAAACAATTTACAAGTAATTTAGATGACAGCGTTAGGTGAATCACCCTAACCTCTGTGCTGGTAACATTCGAAAAGAGTTCCAGGAGTAAGGATTTTAATAAGTAAGAATGTCACACTATCCTGGTTCCCTCCCTAGGTAACCGGGATGTCTTTAGATTTTCCCGCGTAAAAAAAAAGGGCCACGTGAGTATCTGTAAAGCCCTTATGAAACATGCAGAACGTCAAGTGAATGTAAATACACTTTCACATACCTTGAGCATCAAATTGTCTTCTCCTACGTAATATGCTTCTTCCCTGGAAAGAAACAGGACCCGTTCTTCCATGATTGTCGTCGTGCGGCTCATCCTCGCCTGCACTTGTTGCACTATCACGTTGCACGGTTTCGTCGTTTCTGATCGTCGACGTCGCGGCGCCACTTCCACTTCCAGTGAAAAGCTTCACTTTCCTTGCCAGTTCTGCGTATCCATGGAAACCGGTCTCACTGAATCTAATTGATCAAAATAACGAACAACGAATAGTTTCGGATATGAAATATCGGTAATAAAGTAATAAAGACACTCATATTGCTTATGACTAGACTACGGATTTTATGCATTTATAACTTATAGGGCTCTGTGAAATACAATAAAAAACAAAATTTTCATCAGATTCAACAAATTTTCTATTTTACTCTGAATCTAATAATATACTTAAGAGGGAAAATAAATTACTACGATTGCTCCTGTCTTTATAAATTACTTCAAAAACTTTAATTTTGCATAAAACCCTGCAGTATACTTATGACACTAACATTAGGTTTAGGCCGAATTGTAACTTCTGCGACACACAGCGAGAATTTAGTAATTAGTTAGCCCTCTTTATTGTTAGATGATCAGCCCTTTAAGAGTTCATTAACACGAAACTTTTCTATTATTACTAGTATTATCTTTAGGTGTCTTCCATCTATTTAAATCGTATGTACCTCACACTCTCGCTACCGCTGCTCTCATATCTGGTGCTGCTATTTGATTCCCTCCTAGTTCTTGTAATGGCATCTCGTATCCTTTGAGATGCTGACCACGAGTCTCCTGCCTTTCTTGAAAGGGCTGGAGTTGGTTCACTTTCACTTTCCCTTGGACTGTACCTTGATGATCTTGTACTCAATGGACTTGCTTCTGGTGATAATTGCTATAAGAGATATATAATAACTTCCTTACTTTAAGCAGCTCTACTCTCAGTTAACATAACTCTACCTTTCATATTCTAGAATACATACAAATAAACAATTATAAAGTGTTTATGGAACAAGTTACACTATAAAAAAAAATTGGCATTTAATAGACGTTAATTTGAAAAATTAGAAAACTTACACTTGAACACCGTTTGTTTGGAATATCATCTGCTTCATCGGGGTTCGAGAATTCCTCCTTTGAAAACTTTCGCCGCACCTATGATTATGAAAATGAAAAGTACTTTTATATCGTGTTAGTTAATTGATGGTTATATTATATTATTTGACTGTCGAAATTTTATCGTATGAAAATATAGAATTGTAAAGATTGATTTAAGAGGGTGGTTTAATATTCTTGGAAGAAGTAGTATTACTTATTGTAGAAAAAATTTCTAAGAATAATTCCATCATTTTCAATGTATATAAAACCTATTAATTATAGTTTCTTCCTTATGATACTGAATGAGTATTAATGCTTATAAAAACAATGTTATTCACTATAAGATAATTATATTTAATGTTAAATATAATAGAAATAAAATCGAACATAAGCTCTCCTTCTTGTTGTGTTCAAAGATAGAGTTCTGTAAACATTCAAAATCACGAACAAGAGTCGCCTCATAGATTTGTGCTTCATAAATGTTCAATAAATAGCTTTAAACTCTAGGAAGAAGTATAATGGGCCCTCCTATTACCTAACTGTTTTTTCATTTACTGTGTAAAACTGTCATACTCCCTATATACATTAACATTTAAACATGATTCAACACCTTTTAGGCAATCCTATAAACCATAAAGTACGTGGTACTCAAAACGGGTAATGTTTGAATAAAATGATTTTTAAAACACTTTATGCCACATGTGATTTAGCATTATCTTGCCGCAAAACTACTCATTTCAAAGAACCGAGTAAACGCTTTACAGCACGTATTTCTGGGATGACCTAATATACAGAAGACACTTGTTCAATACGATAAAACCTTTTAAACCAGTCACAAACTATTGCAGTGAAAAATGGCAAACTGACCACTTGGAAATCGTCAAACTTCTTTCCCTGGCCAAGATCCCCAGCAATCTTCCGTTCACTCGCACCAAAGTGAGTGGCATCGGTTTCATCAGTAACACTGTCCTTCATAGAGTCTGAACTTCTATCATCTTCTGCCAGTTGTTGTTCCACCATCTGTTTCGCATTCTCAACCTCCATTAGCTTCCCCTTGTCATCTCTCTTAATGCCTTCCCGATCCTGCAGTAGTTTCTCTTCAGCGGCGACGACGTCAAGCATCGTCTCTTCTTTGCTTCCTGTCTTGGCCTTCATTCCGTCATTCTGCTGCAGACATTCCTCGTCGTTTCTCGACGATTTACAGTCAGCAGTCTCTCTGCCCTCTCTAGACAGTACCTTCGTCCTTTGCTCGTGCACTGTCGACCTCGATCTCACTACGGCAGAGACACCCACGCGCTCATCCGCCCTCTCTTGCTTCTCCTCTCTGCCGGCTTGCTTTCCTTTTGCAGTGACGCCGGTGGCGTGCGCATTTAAATTCACACTATCTCTACCCACGTCTGCGTGGCTGCTATCCCGCCGGAATAGTCGAATACCGTGTTTAGAGTCCTCTTTGCTTCCCGGCTGAAAGACCGAACTTTTTGTCTCCTCTTTCAAGTCCTTGCGAACGAACTTCACGTTGGACCGTATGTCGTCTTTGCTATCTTGACGCTTTAATTTCTCCTCCTTGCTGCGGCCTGACAACAATTTCGGAATCAAGCTGGGCACACTTATGTCCTCACGGCTGCGACGGAGATCATCAGTGCTTCCTCTGTATCTTCAACAGAATAGTAGTTGATGAAACACTGTCAATCGAGGATTCTCTTATCAGAATAACTCATGTAACAGCTAATATGTATTAGAGTTAGTTAGGTCAATGATAAATTGAATGTCGGTAATAATACGGTTAATATAGTCTGAATGAAATTTAAAAACTAGAGTACCTTTGCGGAATAAGAGAACGTTTCGGTGACTCTTGAGGGCTCCTAATGTCCTCGAATTCCTTCGAGCTTCGACGAAATATAGGAATACTAGATTTTCTCTCGCCATGCTTAGACTGGGCTAACTTAATTTCCGGCGAGATCAATTTCGATAAGATCTTCGGCGATTTTATTAAGGAGATCCTTAGTGAATTCTGTTCCTGGTTGTTCGAAGTTTCCACTTGCACTTCAGTTTTCGTTTTAAAACCAATCGTTGCGGTAAATCGGTCGAGTTTTTTTGGTTTTATGGCATCGTACGACGGCACTTCCTCCTCTTGTTTATTCGACAATTTTTCGCCACGTTTCGAAGTCCTTCGATCATTGATATCGAACCTTGCCGTAAATATTTCTGGCGAAATCGTCTCGTTTCCTGTCACTACATGCTTGCACGGATCGTTTTTCGTGGAGTCACCACAGCCCCAAACTTGTTTAATTGCCTCCCACGTAACTGGCGCCCTCTGGTCTAAGTCCAGGGATTGGTCGTCTGCAGGTTTTACAAATTCGTTCTTGTCGATAATTTCCCGGTATTCCTGACGACGGGTCGGTAAACTTCGGTACAACCGCAACTCTGGCGATGTTCTTGTCGTAGACCAACGCGTGGGTAGACCTGTATACGAAATATACAGGGTGTAACAAAAGTGTTTTAGATCCCTGAAATGTGTCACTCGTGAGGTGATTTGAAACAAGTTTGTCCTTAGCAAAAATGTTATCCGAGGCTTCGTTAACGAGATATTATCGAAAAATCCGGGCCAATCAAAGCTCGGCCGGCAGATTCGCGCTCTGATTGATCGTGATTTTTCGATAATATCTCGTTAACAAAGACACGGATAACAAGGAAAAACTTGTTCCAAATCGCCTCACGAGGGACCCATTTCCAAGACCTACAACACTTTTGTTACACCCTGCATACAGGGTGTTAAAAAAAACCATTCAATATTTATATGGTACATATCACACAGTACGGAGTAAAAAAGCCTTCATGAACATAGGTCGAAAAGTCAACCATTTCTAAGATGTAAATATTTTTGTATGTTAGCATCATGATTGACGTAGTACTTTTTGTATTTACAGAAGGTGTTCCACATGTTCTCCATGTATTTCTACATCTCTGTCGAATTGTTTGGCAAGCATTGTGGAGTCGAGTGCGTAATTTTTCTAATTGTAAGTCATTTCTCGGCGAATACTACACTTTGTTTCTCAAACATCCTCATAAAAAGAAGTCCGGAGGGTTTAAATTGAGGGGATCGAGGGGGCCATGCGATTGGTTCATCACGTCTATCCAGCTTTAACCAAACAACGTGTTTAAGGGTGCATTCTCATGTAAAATTTCCAAAAAATCAATTTTTCTATTGCATACGATAAGGACTTAATTATAATTTTGTCATAATTTCTGAAAGTTTAGAAGAACCTTACAGATTTATTTTCGGGAAGGTTAAAAAAAAATTATATACTTTTCTGACGGGGCGACTGCACAACTATTGAACAATCAAATTCCTACAACCCAAGATTCATTTGAATGGCCGAAAATATCTTTTACAAATATTACATTACATTTGATTGCAGAAGTCAAGCCTGGCAACCATTCTGTCGGTAAGGTCAACACGGTCCTTACCATCACTGTGCTGTTGGACGATCGGAGCATGCGCACGCAACTTCTAGCCTCTGTGCTATCCAGTGCGCCGATCGCGATTAGAGATGGTGTGTGCAAAATAACTAATAATGATTTGTCACAGTGATCGCAGAATCACGATCATGGCCGTGATTTAACTTCATTTACGTCCGTGATCGTGATTTTTTTATCTTCAGTGAATTTTCTCACTGTGATCTTAATTTTTGATCTTCAACTGCTCATTTCGAAGTTGCTTTTAATATCATCATTTTCAAAAACAGCTTATCTTGTATGTAGAATTTCAAGGAATACGGACACATTTTTTTTCAAATTTATCGATACTCCAAGAGGAATTTGCAAAAGAAAAATTTGTCTATAATTTTCCATATTTTAAAAATGATTTTATTATTCAAAAAAATATTACTCAAATAGACAAAACCTTCTAGATTAAAAGAAAGGAAAAATTAACTCAATACGATAAATAGTTTCCGAGATAAAAATTCATAAGGACACGCCGGTTTCACGAAAATAGACAAAAATTACAAACTTTAGTAGTCTGTATTTAAAAAAAAAAACGCGATACCAGTAAAATGATGACATAAACTGCCCCTAATTTCACATGGAATAGTTTATTTTATTTCAAACAAAATTCCTGACATCGAATGCAGAATGTGATCGATTTGGCGTGAAATAGCCCAGATTGGACGGTTTAATATGATGTAACTATGCGCAGTAAATAATAATAATTATACTGAACGTACCGTTAATCGTCCAAGCACGTCGAATAGTGTGCTTTAATATTTCAACAGTAGACGCAGAATTTTTCCTGTTTATGGATCCTTTGCATACCGGAGTTTCGTATATCCAATCTCCTGTAGCAGCACTCAATTCCCTAAAATTATAAAAACAAAAAAATTGCAATATTTATCACCGTTTTTTTTAAAAACACCTTGAATTATTAAATATTAGCTGTTTATAAAGAGCAATATATTCAATTACAAATCATCATGCATTAGAAACAAACAATTTGTTTTTCTTTAAAATTCAAGGTAGCAAAGAATTCGTAGGAAAGTACTAGAAGCAACTCACGCGATCTTGTAGCAAACGTTACAGATCCATTCGACGTCTTTGTTATCGACAAGGCGCCTGACCTCGATACAGCACTGTCTGCAAACTCTGTGCCTGCAGCGGGCACATGGAGCGCCGGTGTTGTAGAATCTACCAAACGGCGTACTGCATTTGGTGCATTTACGTCCTTGGCACGATAGTTCACCTGACGCCTTTAGAAGTCCCCTCCTCCGGAGGTATTGGAGATCAGCCCTCAGTCTTCTATAAAACGAATAGTTTTACTGTATTTCTGGGTTGAACTCTAATCAGTAGACTGCGGATTATATGCATTTGTAACATATACGAATATGTGAAATGTGACAAATGGTAAAGTTAACATCGGATATTTTCTGTCTTATTCTTCTAATAATAAAAATCATTAAGAAATGAAAGAAAATTCAAGCTTCACATCTATCTTTACAAATCGCTTAAAAAACTGTTATTTTGCATAAAGTCTACTAATCAGACACGACATTTCTCATTTTTAGAGACGTGAATTTTCTTTCTGAATTTCGAACCTTACAGATTTCGAAATGTTTTACGGGCTCATCACGTTTCCTGCGAAAATAACCGATACAAATCTACCTAAGGTCAATGTCCCTATTTCTAATCATGTACGAGTTCTGCTATCGCGGAAATTGATTTTTATTATTTATTTATGCAAAAATCGGCAAAAAAAAAACTTCAGTAATGCCTCGATGAGTGCGACACACTCGGGTTTACTTGGTTTTGAACCCTTCATAAAATTGTATTTTGCCCGAAGCCAAGCCTCTGCTTAGCTCCTGTTTACTCTGCTTTGATTGGTTCCACAGGGGGGCTCCCCCAGCAAAGGGAACAACGCCATTGCTCGTGTCGCATTCATCGAGGGATCACTGTTATCAGGTATAAAATCTAAACGTCCCTTTATAATTAAATTTAAATAAAAGTATTTTTAAAAACATTTTAACTTAATCATAGTTAATTTAATATGAAGTATAAAATATCCCTATTTCAGCTCAGCAAAAATAGAAGTGCCGAAATCAAACTTTGGCGTACAATATCAAAGATTCCGTAAGTTTTTTTTAGTAAAAACGCAGCGTACGATACAACTAGACCAATATTATACACCAACATATCTACGTTAAAAAGTATAAATTTCTCGAATTATACTCTCATATCCCTGCTGGAACCAGTCGTAGAATCCCAGTTTTCTAATCACCGATGCACAAATCAAACACGTAACACTACACAGAGACTAACCATCCAAACACCAATTTTTATTTTCACTATAACTCAAATATATCGGTGGATGTATCGAGTGAATGATAATGACGCCAGAATACATCGATCGATATATGCGATGCAACGAGTCTCCCTCCGCGGTACACCTACGCGTTCTCCCAGCATACCAGGAGAGCAAGTTTCGTCGAGTTGGAGGAGGCGATTCAGTGCCGACCGCATCCGGCCGACGGAAAGGTAGCCACTGGACCAGCGATCGCTATCGGAGTCAGGATGCTCGCTAGCGGAATGAAGCAAATCGAGCACGGTGCAAGGTGGTGTCACTTTCCGCGACAATTATCGAAGCGATTTCGAACACTTTGTCCGCGTGTAACGGAATATTCCATCTTTCGAATCTCTACAGTAAATCCTCGATGAGTGTTCGAAGGCTCCACATCACTGACATGGAAAGATCCCCAGATGTAACCCTGACACTTTAACCTGTTAACCGGAGAATTAAGTTTTGTTCAACTCGTTTCACAATGGGCCCAGATGGCCCATATATATTTTATATAGATTTTCCCATATGGCCACGCTAGGTTTTAATGGGTAAGAACGACGTAAAACGTACTGGGAACCATTAAAAATTTCCATGATGAAAAGTCGTCATCCCTGTTAGAGTTGTCTTCCTGGTATGATGAAATATTTCATTTAAAAAGTCGTCATCCCTGTTAGAGTTGTCTTCCTGGTATGATGAAATATTTCGTCATACCTGGTTAACAGATTAATGCGGTTTAGCACAGTGATGCAGCTTGGCGTTCAGAAGCCAATGATATTTGTTTCGGACGCATATGGTCATTAATTTATGAAATATTTAATGTTCAGTGTCGAGGAGCCTTGGAACACTCATCGAGGATTTACATTTTTGCAGAATCCGCAGTATTCTTTAATTGTTACCGTCACTTGTTAAGGCTCCCGAATGATCAAACTGTTTACTGAAATCTGTACCAAACCAATCGTTTCAGCCCCAAAATTGAACAAGGCAAGGGTACTGTGTCCCGGATAAAACTGCTGGATTTGATCAGGCATGCCCCACTCTTTAGTCGGCTGTGACTCAATTTATCCGAACTATCTCAAACAATTGGATACTGGAATGGACCCAATTTTATTTGAATATTTGGTCGATGTATTAGAGATGACCGGAGCTAGCGCGACCCAAATTTAGGATCGATTCGAGCGGAGGGCCAGACTCTACTGGTTTTGGGTCAGTGCCTCGGGCGAGCTTGAACGGACAGAAAGCTTCGGGTACCGGATTAACTCGGATCAGATTAAGTCGGTCAAACCTGACCGAATTGCAGAATTCTATTAACCAACCGTCCATTTCTGATTTCGTCGATAAACGCTCGATGACACGTCACGTGTCCGCTCGAACCTAGCAAAAAGGATCGGTGCATTAGTGACAGCAAATAATGTTCCTGATCCAGGTGCGTACTTGGATTGCGCAGCCACTTTAGGCCCGGAGAAGCGACCAATGCACGCTCCTTATCGCTGATACAGCGTAAGTAATACGATGTAAATGTACGTATTGGTATACAGGAGAATTTCATAGCGTATTGGGAAAGTCGGTGGGGGCGTGGCTTAGACTTTGGCCCTCTGATGGTAAGATGGAAAACTACTGACAGTAGGTTCTTCAAATTCATACATACTTGTTTATATACAGTTGAGATACCACGAATACACAGTAGCTTTTAACGGCTTTAAGATTGAATCAGAAGCTTGTGATTTTAATTGAAAGAACAATGCGAGCTTCGGTCAACGAAATTTGTAAGTTCGCGTGTGCAACAACCCAAAGCAAAAACTTTATTGGTCATGAAAATGTAATTAATCGTGATCACCCGTTAAATTGGGGTAGACGAAATGAAGATGACAATAATGATGCTGTTGAAATCATTGCGTTTTGTCTTCAGACATTAAATTTAAAAGTTGATCCATATGAAATTAGTGGTGAAATATTTTTAATAAATAATTTAAAGCTGAACGAATTGGTATGACTTATAACTTAAGGAAATTTACGACATGACTTCCTGAAAACCATAAATTTTATGTCGAACTATATTTCTGATTACAATAATGCTCGTTGGGATAAACTCATCTTTTGTAATGTGTAATGAGCATACTATCATAGACGATGATATATTCTTGCCCATTTTTAAAACTTTCATCCATGCCCTGAAGCGGTCAATAATTTTTATTTGATTTTATTTATTTTTTAATTTCGCAAAGTTTACTTTTTGCCGGAGAATACGATAAAAGTGAATAGTATCATTTTTAAATGCACGACTGTTACAGCCGTACACACAGCAATATATTTTACCCTTATTTGTTCTAGGAGAAAATTCCATGGTGTACTTTTTTATAACTGCGTAAATAATTATGACTGTTATTATACCGATTAATTTAAAAGCATTAAATAACACACAAATATAAAAACACTGATTTTTCTCAACCTGTTCAGGTTTTTTTTCTTAGGTTTCACTTCTTTTTCTGAACTATTTAAACACTGTTGATCATATGGATACTCGACTTACTCTCAGTAGTTTCATTTTCTGTTACTAGTTGGCGTATCGAAATTCTGACTTTCCCAATAGTAAAGAGGGGACACAAAAAACATCTGCCATTTGTACTCCACTAGTATGCAATTATGTACTTGACAACTTAAAACATTTTGTACAAACAGTTTAATCGGATCAGTCCTACTATCAGTTCGTCGTTAACAATCACTGGTGTACACAAATACTTCCACTGGAAAATAATGTTCTATAGGGCACGTGTTTATACGGACTTTTTTAATCGTTTTCATGTTCTTTATCCACTACCGACACCATGAAACACCCTGTACATACACACCATCGGTTGTTCAACTCTTTGCGCGCCGTTTTGCGACTTTTGCAACGAATGCACGGACTCGTGAGCTACAGTCGGTACACTTCGCTTTCTTTCGGTTCGCCTCGGTTCGGTTCACGTTATCTCGTACCAGTGGGGGCGTGACTAGGCGTGCATTAAGCCGCGTCCCCATCGAGGCGGCAATTGCAAGACGGCACAGATCCGCAGCGGCATTTACCAGAGTCAAAATTTCCAATTTTTGCCTACTTTCGTGAAACTAGGCTATTAGATACTTATGAATTTTGATCTCGGAAACTTTTCATCGTACTGAATTCATTTTTCCTTTCCTTTACTTTAGAAGGGTTGACCTAGTTGCATAATATTTTTTTTAAGGTGTTAAAACATCGAATTTATTTTCTCACTCAAATCAGATATTTATAGTGTAGAATATTCGACAACAAGAATTAAAGCATGAAATAAAAATTATTTCAGTTAAAAAGAAATATTTCTAAACCATTTAGTTTGCATTTCATTTATACATTTGCAAAATAAATGGTCAAGAAATATTTTCTTCTAACAAAAATAATTTGGATAGGTACTGTTATGTCTCCACTGTAAGCACATACGAAACTCATTTTGATCAGTTAGTTCAACAGTTATGATTTATTGAAAAACAGTTGACACTATATTTCAAACAGCTGTAGAATCAACAATTACAAAAATTTTCAAAATCCTTCGAAACACTTATATATATCACTAAAGACTACAACATACCAAAGTGTCAACAAAATCCGAGGTATTACTCCAAAAAGTGTCCGATTTCGCGTGGTATGCCTTGCATACAATGTATAACTGCGGACAACTGTAATTTTGTCGATTTTCACTTTTTTACATATTATTTAGAATATTATTTATAATCTGTTCATGTACAACAAAAAGTAATCAACCGAATACGATAAATAGTTGCCAAGATATAATTCCTAAATACAATTCATTTTCATGAAAACGGGTAAAACCCGCAACATTGAAAGGCCTGTATTTCTTAAAAAAATTCGAAACTCGAAACATGATGACTTAAACCCCGCCCCTAATTCCACGTGAACTACATCGTACGTCGTTTTAATCAAAATCCCAGACATCCAGAGAAGAAAGGGACCGACCGTGAAATGACCCTCCTTGTTGTCGAACACGCATCCTCATTGCTAGTTCATCACGAATTCTTTTCTTGTTTACCGACATCAGTCAGGAAACGAATCCAGGAGTCCAGGTTCATGTGGCAAAGGCCGACGCAATGGGGACGCGGCTTTAGACAGTAATGTTCCGTTTCGGATGTCAACGACTGGGAATACGATATTTATCGTAAATACCGGTTTTGCGACTACTTTTCTTCCGTATCGGATCGCCGATTTTGTAGATTCCTACAATTAAAGAAATGTATATAATAGTCGATCGAAGGCAGTCAAGTTATATGAAATAATATATGATTCTGCATTCTTCTTTAGTTGCTCTCCCGATACAAGAATCAAGTAAAGCAGCAAATCACATCAGTCCAAAAATGTAACACGCATTCAAAGATGAATGCACACGTGTTGCAATAATTATTGCTGACAATTATTTATCAGTACTTATTATAGTATTACTTAGTTGTAGTAAGAAGTCGGAACTGCTAAACTATTGCGTGTTAGTGCTACAAAAAGTATAAGTGAATATAGTGTTATGTTTGTGTTTATTTAACTATAGTCGATAAAGATTTAAATTTTTTAAACAAAATCAGCGCTTCGAGTTTCGAAATTTTATGAAGTTTTGGGTTCGAGTTCCGAGAATTCAAAATTAGGTTTCAACTCACTCCTACTTAGAATCGAATAGAATTTAATATGTGATAGTTCAGCGGATACTAAAGGTAAATTACTGGTGATATAAACATATTTCATAATTAGCAGTGTTAAACCTAGCACTCAAATATCTTTAAAACAACCTCTAAATTTTTATCGAAAAACTTCAGCAAACCTCTCAATCTTGGCATATTTAGATTCTTATTCGAATTCAAAAACTGTAATTACTATTGCTAAAATATTCAGTATGCAGTACTGAATATGTTCAATAGATTCGGAAAGTTAGATTGAAGTATCGAAGTATCACGAGTTCGTTATACCTCCGTGTGAAAGCTATTCCACTCCAGTCAAGCTGTATACGCTACGATACAGAGAAAAACGAGACACTCGGTCACACGGAGGGTCACAGCCACAGCTAGCCCTGAGGGAGCAGTCATTGACATTGAGAGAGAGAGGGAACGAGCAAGATTCTTGGAGGAACGTGACTAAAGGCGCGTCTCCACTGGTGTACGCGAACAGTATATGAATCATTTTTTCTGTGAATCTTCTATTCCCGTACAGGAGATAGCAGAATCAAGCAAAAATATAAAAAAGAGATCAAATGCATCGACGATTTAAAACATTTTGAAAACTCCTTCGAGATATGTTTATACAGTGTGTAACACAAATGTTGGAGGACCCGGAAATGGGAGATTCGTGAAGTGGTTTTAAACAACTTTTTCCTTATCAAAAATGTTATCCGAGGCTTTGTTAACGAGATATTAATGAAAAACCCTGATCAATCAGAGCGCGTGTCTGTCAGCCGAGTTCCCGCTGTAACGTTGGCTACGCGCTGCGATTGGTATATTGGATGATAAAGCGTGTGTGATCCTCGTATACCTCCCCCCACTACTGTAGAAGAGCAGTTTTCTCCCTTTGGGCAAGGTGGTTGCCAAAAAAGTCAGAAGGAGGGAGCATTCCTCCACCGAGGCACTCGGGCAGCCGCCGCTGGAGAGGCGAGTGGAGGCTCGTCGTTCCGTCCGCAATAGGAGGCAGCCCAGAGGAGGAGCGTTGTGGGGGAGTGGCCCTTCGACACCGTCGAACAGCGAAAGACTTTTGGAGGGAGGGGCGAGTCTTGTGTAACCCATCCCCTCGAGGAAAAAGCTGCCTTGCAGGGGGTTCCCCACGCCCTCACAAACGCCTCGAGGTAGGCCATCGTGGGGTTTTTAGCCGGTAAGAGTCCGGCACAACCTCGGTCTCCCTTCCAGGAGACCGGGGAGTCCATGAGGATTTTCCTCACGAAAAAAAAAATACAAATAAAAGATAAAAAGTTTTCACTTTTAATCTGTATCTTTTATTCGAAGGCATGAAATCAAAGATACAGATAACAGATGAAAAGTTTATTCGAACGAATGGAGCGTTTCGAATAACGAATAAAGATAAAGTATCTTTTATCTAAATAATACCCTATTCTGATGTAGTATCTGGGTTATATTTGGAAAAAGGTAGGTATCATTAATAGTTTTTTCATTTCATCCCTATAATCTATTACCATTCTTCGACGCTTTTCTTCAAAAGCATAATCGTGTGTTTCGGAAACTATCCTGACCGGAAAATTATATAGCAAATCAGATTCTTGCATAATATTATTTTCAAGAGAATTAACCTGATTTTGAGTTTCGGTTTTATAAATTTGAGGTACAACCCTTGGCCCTTGGTGGTAGGTAACTGAAGAAGCTCGTAATAATTTATTTATAAATAAAGCTTAAAAAAATTCGTTGATTATTTTGTAGCAATGAGGCCTAAATGAATAAAAAAATGAAATAAATATATGCTTCATATGTAAGTATATAATCGTATAATTACTAAATATTGAGAAATAAATTATGGAAAATGTTTGGTACCAGCAGCTCTATGCTCACGAGCCTCATGAGCAAACTCGGCTTACGCTAGGGGAAAAAGTAACGTAAGGGAAGGGTTTCCTATAGCTTGGTTTTAGAAGTTACTAAAATTTATGTCAAATTAATATTTAGTTTAACATTTAATTCAGTACTTGTTTTAAATTTACCGAGTTGTATGCGACCCTTCCCTACGACACGTTTTCCCCTAGCGAAAGCCGAGTTTGCACGTCAGTGTACCCTCACGAGCAAACTCTGCTTCCGCTGGGAGAAAAAACCAGTGTAAGAGAAGGGTCTTCTACCACTTACTGTTAGTCTCGGGAATTATTGAAACTTATTTCAAATTAACACTCGATTTAACATTTATTTCGGTACTTGAAATAAATTTACAAAGTGGTAGGAGACCTTTCTCATACGCTACTTTTTCCCCTAGCGGAGGAGTAAGGGCCTCCTACCATTTGGTATCCGGAACTATTGAAATGTATGGCAAATTAATATTTGGTTTGACATTTATTTCAGTACTTGAAATAAATTTATCAAGTGGTAAGAGGCCCCTCCCCCACGACACTTTTTCCTCTAGCGGAAGCCGGGTTTGCACGCAGTGTATACATGCATATAACCGAATACGAGAAAGGAACTATGATAACACATTTCGGGATTTCCACACAATCTATATGTAGTAAAAACTACACGAGTTTTTCTCTCGACACCTTTATTGTATGAACAGAACTCGATTCAACGTTACCCTTGTTCCTCCTCAGCGGCTGGTCCCGGTTGCTCGAAGCGAAACACGTCCGTAGTCGACATACTAGGCACTGTTGACACTCGATCGCGGATCACATATCGACGTCTTCGCAATTCGAGGATGTTTTCCTGACTCAGGCTCAACGGATCCACGTGTAAACGCCGTGCAAGTGCGTGTCCAGGTTAGATGGCGCCCGTCAAGGCTAACACACATTAACGCGTGCCAGGACCAACGTATACAGGAACAACGAACCATTCGAGCAACAGGTTGCAAATTCACAGACTTCCGCGCCGTACTCAAATGAGAAGCAACACAACGGTGTCGACGGCGGCCGACTCACACTCGCTACAATCTGGTGTAAATAGTATCACGGCGCACCTTGCCCCGTCCTTCTCTACCTGTGCACGCCACCGTTTTTCTCTGACTTGAATGCGCCGGACGAGACGCGTTCCTTCTAGCTATGCATTCACACACACGCTCAGCATTTATGCTGTGATGGTAATATACCGGTATCTTTAGGCTGCGTGTGCTCACCTATACATAGCCACAGGTGTTTATCTGACTCGTAACTGTGTGGACAGGTTTTCCGCGGTCGGTACGAACCGGAGCATGGACATAGGAATAAGTTGCGCGGGGGGAAGCAGCTTCCTGGGAGCGAGGAACACGGTCACGTGGTACTCTGGTGCCAGATTGGCGATTGGTTGTGTTCACGCAAGCGCAATCTTGTTTTCATCGAGTAAAAGTGTACTTCAGCTGGGTAACCGAGTTTGCTCGTGAGGGTACGTGATACGAGTAATTTGTCGCAAAGGTCGTAAATAGAAATATTAATTATTTCAACGTTTAAACAATTAAAGTAGAAAAAATTTTAAAACATTTATAAAAACGATACATATCTCCTTTTCGTATAAAATGCTAAAAATGTAATATTGTAAGTGTCATATTAAACACGAAATATAACCTCAAATTAACTTTTATTGTACGGGTAAATTTTTTGTGATTGCAACAAAATGGGTGGTAGAAAAAAGCATAATCAATATGATCCTTTGGGGTTCATTAGGAGAAAGAATGAAAAAGGCGAAAATGTAGCGTTTTGCACAGTGTGCAACCATGATATTCGAAATACAGCTGTGAAGAGATTAGAACGGCATAAATGAGTATGCAATAAAAAAAATAAAAATTTTTCATCAGGTAAATAAAAATGGTTTTGATAAAATGAATTGCAATACATCTGTTTTAAGTATGGTAAGTTGCAGTACAACGTGTACAGATGAGACTGAACACGTTTGTGAAAAGAATATTAATATCAATAAATGTAAAGCTATCAGTAGTAATGAAATTAATTATTTTATAACTTCACTCAGAACCCTTCCAGTTTCTCTTCTTGTACTAAAGTTCTAAGAGTCTAGAAAAAGTTTTTGGCCACTTGTAAGATGTAACCATTGAATTAAAAAACTCATCATATTGTGCATCCAAAATTGTTGTTAACAGTACTTTCCTTGTAGGACGCTTATATTCATCATTCAGTCCATTGATAAATGCTTTAAAATGTTCTGAATCAATTACACTAAAAGGAATATTGCATAAAAAGAAAGAAATTTTCAAGTAACTGATCAATCTTACTTCGTTCAAAATAAAAATAAACTTTTTATTAAAATAGATCTTCACATCGTCGTAACGCGTCGACTTGCGACGCGAGCGCTTGCAAACTAACTTTTGTAGGCCTTCTCGCCAATTATGTATAAACTAGTATTGCCAAATTTGCAAACAAAATCCACCAACATTTAAAATTGAATATACAACCTTGGTACAACCATATCTCAGGTACAACAGGTTACCCCACAATATTTTTTTTAGCAAATTGCACAAATAAATGTAAAACATGTTTCTGTACAGTTTTAGTTAATTGATTTTCCATGCGACTCACGTACTCAATCCGGGTGGACGTGTGTAGTCACATACTTAAAATACAACAGATCGTGGGCCGATGCAACAACTACAAAAGACGTTATAGCAATGAACTTTTGCAGTCTATAAATTAAATATTTAATTTCTCAATTTCAAGTAACATCTGATTTGTTTATTAAAATTTATAAGTTATTGATATCCAATTTATTATATCAAATAATTTGACTTTATTGAACATATACATAGATATATGTATTTAAAAAAGGAATATCGATAAGAAATATTTACATTGTTTAATATTATTAAAATTTTAATTTCTTTTCATGTTACTTACAACGCACACAAGTTCACACAGAATTCTGTTCCACACTTATTCCAACTGCTTTTCTGCTTTTGGGTAATATTAAATATACAAAATTATAAAAAGCAAGTAACTTTTGACAGAATTTTCTATACAGCAGTAGAAAGAAAGTAATTAATTAACAATTATGCGACTTTATCCCCTACTGCAATGCAATGCTTATTATGTCCAGTTGTAAATGGTACAACACAAATGTTTAACATCAGTAATTACAGTAAAGACTGGATAAGAGTTGGATAAAAAGTTTCTTGTAAGAATTTCTACTTCGCCACCATCACTGTGGAGGGAAGGCAGTGAGGTGTTGAAACGATTTGTGGTGCACCCTGGAAGTTTTAAAGCAGACACTAGTTTCAAACTCTTATGGAATCTTTACTGTATAATAATAACAAAAGTTTAGCAGAAATAAGGTGATATATTATAAATAATATGGAATGTCAACACACATACTTTTTAAGAAAAGAGACTGTAACATTTATGCAAATAATTTAATCATTTTTAGTATTTATATCTTTGTTCCTGCGTTTTGGGCTTGTTACGTTTTATTTTCATTTACACGTTAATATTCTTTTGTATGGGAAGGCCACCATAAATATTATTATATTTTAAATTCAATTAATTTTTTGCCTGATCACAACTAATGAATCGTGGATGCTTGTGATATGTGTTGTATTTACATATTTTGATGTCAGAGACGTTATAATGTACAAGACAAACAAGTCAAAGTAAACGAAAAATGATACAAGTTAGCATTTACCATCAATACTTTGATATATAAAGTAGATTTGTGGTATCAAATAATGCTACAATGTTCATTCAATATACATAATAATCAATGAATAATCGAAGAATAATGAGTTTGCAGTTTATTGTACAATCCTATGACTTAATCTATTTATGACGTATCATAAAAAATAAGAAACATAAGTGGATTTTTGTAACGTGTGATTGTATATTTGTTATAAATAAATTATGTATTCCACCAATGTGAACTATTTAATGTGTAAGTTGCAACATCAAACGTTGGGTCAATTATTAATATCTTGCTGAAGTATTAATCTCAGTAATGGTGTAGTTCATGGTATCGAAGGTGAATCCACACTGTTGCATGAATTTGTTGAGAATAGAGAAGAAACAGGACTAATAAATTCGTTCTATTTAACTTGGACGACATTGACTTTCATGTGTCAGTAATGCTATCCCAAATAACAAGAAAATCTCGTGTAACAAGAGAACTTATATATTAAAAGATTCATTCCCTTATAGTAGACTTAAATTACAATTGGACCAAGTGTACGTTAAGACAACAGTTTCTTGACACATTTACCTATCGAACATCAGAAGTCATGGCTAAATGGCCTCTTAAGTTCTATCATACAACACCTCAGACTTCAAACACAGGCAATAATGAAAGAAGTTTTTAATTATTGTGTAAGTAACAAATACATTTCATAGAAAGTATTAGTATTCACCAAGTGATTCTTTACAACTGTTTCCTGAAAAACTTGATAAGCTAATAAAAATTGTTTTGTTAATTTTAGTAATTCTCTATTCAATCGTACATTTCAGTGAAAAATATGAGGTATATGTGTACTAAAATGTCGACTGCCTTAAATTTCCCACATGCTCATGTGTATTATTTTTACAATTTATAGCAAAGTAGCTACATTGACATTGTACACTAAGATCTCACTTAGTCAGGCCACATAAATGTGTCACAACTATGCACCTACATACATACTTACAGGCGTTTCATTTGACAAACGTACACTCTTTTAAAAGACACACACACTACTTATTTTCATACTCTCTGACTCACTTAACACATCACTCTGTTTATAACGCACTCTCCAGTTCGGCACCTGAGTAAACCATCTTTAAATCACAATTATTTAATCGACCAATTCAAATGACAATTTTAATTGGGTCCAAAGAACTATGTTAGTGGACGTCACTCAATGAGAACTACTTCCAGTTTGCAAGAGATACAAAACACCAGATGAAACAATTTAAGCCAGGTATCAGGAACAAGAACTGTAGAATTATCGCGACTCCGCTTTCGTTTTTGGAGGCCTAAACGCTTTCAGTTTCTTCGCTTTCTTCTGTTTTGTAGCACTAGAGCCTGACTGAAAAGCTTTCCAACTATCGACTCTTGACTGTCGTGATTCCTCGAAATTCTTTTGCCACTCACGCTCTAACGCAGCTTGTGCTTCAGCTGATAATTCTTCCTCTCGTTTTCTTTTTCGTTGCTCTGCGTCTCTAGTGGCTAATTCTCTTCTACATACAGAACATAAATATTATCTATTGAATATATAGACAATTTGTGTCGATTTAACTGGTACAAACCTTCTTCGTTCCATATCAGCAAAGAGTTTCATTGTCATTACCCAAACAGCATGCCTGTAACCTTCTTCAGTTTCCTCTTCAAGCATAGTTGCACCATCAGCTTTTCCTTCCTTCTTCAGTTTCTTTTTTTTCTCTGTAATCTGATGAATTTTGAATGTTATCAATGTTATCATAAATAAATAAAAGCTTTAATTCTTTTATTTATACCATATGATTTGTACGAGCTTTTGCTTCTTCAATGACATCCATACATTTTGCTCTAGTCTCTTCATTTTCCAGTGTCTTCCATGCCTTATTAACAACTGTAAAGAAAGTAATATCAAAGCGATAGAATATTAAACACTTATTTTGTTACAATTTTCAGAATATTTTGAATTTCTAGATACAGCAAAGACTCCATGAGAGTTGGATAGTACTTCATTTCCACCATTGGGTGGGGAGAAAGGTCCGGGAACCTGTCAATCGCATAATTTCTTGCCCCCACCCTCCTGTTGCCACGGCTCAGGTATCAGCCTAAAATGATTTGTGAAGTGTTGAAACGATTTGCAGTGTACGGTGAAAGTTTGGAAGTGATCCTGAGTTTGAAACTCTCATGGAGCCTACACTGAATATAGATATGCAAATTAACAAAAAGTTTAGCTGTAATGTAATTTATGATTTTGTCTTTTTTTAAAATAATTATTACAATATCATCAGTTCAAGTGTAATGTAGAGATGACAATATACCTTTTAATAAAAAGTACAATGTTTGGCTCTAGATTCAGTGAGGAATGATGATAAAGCCACTTGCACTAATGAATACTTATCAAAACGTTCCTAGAACTATTACAGTTACTCTATTACTATCTATAAAGTGAACATACAAGATTTTTGTTCTGTATTGTTTTGCAACTCTGTGTATCTTGCTACTTATCATCAATTTCACCGACATTTAGAAACTTTGTACAGCTTGTGTTCAATTAATGTGACAAGAGAGATTGTATCAAATGGATAAAAGTCTGAAAAATACAAATAATTACTTTGGTTTCTATATTATACTAACTTTCATATCCTATAGTTTCACTATTATATCAGTTTTTATGCACCATGATGCACCAACACCAGACAAAAACTGAAATAAAACCTGCTTGAAATCTCCCTATGAAATGCTAATTAATACCTACTTTCGAATGCCTGTTGAGCCCGTTCAGCATCATCTTGATTCTTGTCAGGGTGAACAAGGATTGACATCTAAAAAAAAATTGATTCAACAATACAACCAAATACATTGACTTACAGATTAAAAGAATGTCTTACACGTCGATACTTCTTCTTGATTTCATCTACGGAGGTTAATGGATCAATTTGCAAAACTTCAAAAGGGTTTAAGTTAAAATACGATGAGCCAGGCCGAAGTAATCTGTCAATCTGCTGTTTGGGAGTCAACACAGAATCCCTTTTCTCTATTTCCTTTACCTGAACAGAATTGGAACTTTCAGAAATTGAATGAGATACATTCTGCTTATATATAACTCGAATCTGTTTCTTTTTTCAAATTTACTGTAGTAGTGTACATTCTTAGATATTAGATATGATATAGTAAATAAGAGTTAACACAGTTGTAATGTTACATTTATTTTTTCCCCTTAATACAATTTGACGTTTGTTAACCCTTAGAGCAAGGTGCGAGTGTTTACAGTTATATAATATTGAATTGTACTCGAAATAGTGTTATTTATAAAGTGGATATTGTAACAATACATTATCGGTCGCTATGTTTACATACTTCCGTGTAAAACTCATTGAATTCGTCCTCTTTCTTTGTTGGATTATCACTGGATATACTCGAGTTGGTACCGGCCATCTTGGTTTTTACTAATTCCCCTGTTTTTAATTGTGTCGTCTATTAAATGTGTACTGAGTACTTGTCCTTACATAATTGTTTATTAAAAATAAGATGTATCAACTAGAAGTCATTTGGAAAAATAGAAACCAATCTTGTGCAGTAATGTTCAGAATTTCGTAGATTTTATGTGAAAATAAAAAAAAACAGACTAAAACAGATTAATTAAATTTAATAATTTCTATCTTTTAAATTTAATTTAACAAAGCCCTTAATGAGTAACATATATTCTCACGAGTAAACTCAGTTTCCGCTAGGGGAAAAAGTGGCGTAGGATAAGGGCCTCCTACCACTTGGTAAACTTATTTCAGGTACTGAAACAAATGTTAAATCGAATGTTAATTTGACATACATTTCCGTAATGCCCAATACCAAGTGGTAGGAGCATGGTAGAAGGCCCTTCCCCTACGTTACTCTTTTCCCCTAGCAGAAACAAGGTTTGCTCACGAGGGTAGTTAGAGATGGCGTGCTACTTGTGAATCACGAGTGATGCAATCACGTTCGTCCCCAATCACGGTGATTTTTCACAGCGATTCGTGATCGTTTCTGATTGGTGGAGAAATATTCCAACAGCAGTTCTTTGCACGTGACGCGTCGCATAACATGTCATGTGTGGTAATTAGAGATGGCGTGAACTGCTATTTGTGAATCACGAGTGATTCAATCACGTTCGTTCCCAATAACGGTGAGTTTTCACAGTGATTCGTGATTTTTCGTGATCGTTTCTGATTGGTGTTTGGTGGAGAAACCTAACAGTTCTTTACACGCGACACATAATCTGTATATTTTATATTAACGACATCAAAACAAAAATTCGAGTTATATCGTATAAAATGAAGGAATAATTAGAAACAATGAAGAATAATGAATAAATTAATTTCTTGTTTTTTCTACTGATTTTTACAAACACAAATAGTAATGTAATTCATCGTAAAATCATATTGAATACGTTTTTCTGTTTAAAGATCAAGGACTTGCGATCGCAGAGAGGAAATTTACTCAAGATAAAAAAATCGCAATCACGATCGTGAATGAAGTTAAATCACGACCGTGATCGTGATTCGGCGATCACTGTGATAAATCATCGTTAGGGATTTGGACGTCATCTCTAGAGGGTAGGGTTGAATCGATATCGCCAAGGTATCGATACTTACTCGGTATCGAAACTAAAGTATCGAGTAATGTTCTCGTATTTACTTGTATCGATTCATCTCTTCTCCATTGTTTGTGGTCTCTCTCTAGTGCAGACGATACAGACTGGTGCAGCCAGCCATAATGTACCTTACATCATGGTGCAGGCTACACCAGGCTGCACCGTGCAGCTTCATCCACTGATCTATATAATATATCCATGGACCCATGGACCTATGGCATGTATAATAGATTGCGCGGTCTTATGGTAGGAATGAAACGTAACCGAAGGACAGAAGTAACAATGGAGTCATTCCTCTCTCGCTTGCACATCGCAAAGAGAGGAGAGAACGTGTTGGAGGGCAATGAGGAAAGGGAATGTTGCACGTGGCTGCACGTATGTAATGCCTTCACCAGCCGTAGGAGATTCCCCCACCAACAACCCCATTAGAAAGAGAAGACTGTGACTCCATGTATTATCCTCTCACTCTATTGCCGACCTCATCCTTACCATAAGACCGCGCACTCTATTATATATAGCTATTATATATAGCTAAATTTGAAAGAACTAATGTATCCACAGCTTTTCTATGTATTCAACAAAAGAAATTAATTAAATAAATTGCGTAACAAGAACAGATATTTTATAATTATATATAAAACAATTCCAATTTGAAGATGTCGTTAAGGAATCGTATGTGTAGTACATTTATTAAAAGACAAGTACACGGAAATTCCGAGATAGTAGCAAATTGTAAGGAAATTCGGAATCGTAATCCAAGAAATTTAGAACGCTTAAGGATCGCCAGGAGACCTATTGGTTATGCTCTTGAAAAACCTGGATTTGCTTATTGGCACAAGTAATATGATTATAATTTCTTAGTATAACCTTAATAACATTTCGGTTATATTTTAAGTTGTACTGATAATTTTTAATATATCTCATGTTCTTAATTAGTGTTAAGAGTGTATAAATTTTATGCAATGTTTAAAACTAAAATATTCATAGATTAACCGTGAAGGAGACACGACATTATGTTTCTGCAGAAGTACGTCATTTTGAAAATGGTCCTGTTATTACAGCCTCAACCCAAGAATGGGGATTCAAGAAACAATTATACAGGTTTGTGTATATTGAAAATGTAATCGTTGATATCCATAATATTGGAATTAATTTGGATGTACATTGGCTTTAAAACTATAAGCATTTCATATTAAATCTTTATTAGAATATTACATTTTGCTTCCTTCAATACAGCGTTAAATGTTATATTTAAAGGATAATTGTTATTTAACAGTTTGTTTAGTTGTTTAAATTCAATTTAAATCTGAAGTTTACTATAGCTTGTCTTGCATATCGAAGTATAGATTGCATTTAACTAATTATGTGAAAGTCAAAACTTTTACTTGTGCAATCAATTAATAGGGTTGTTTAATAAAGACTAAGAAATAATTTATTAAAAAACACCAAAATATTATATGCATATTAATGTTCATGTACTTAGGAAGCATGATTATCTTTTAATCCATAGAAAAAATTTTATAACATTATTTCAATATTTCAAAAGCTATTGAACTCTAATGTTCAAGGATCAAAATGTTTGCTTCTAATGCAATATTATATACCATTAATACAGTTGACCTTGCACAATTGTTATTGTAACTGAATGTTTGTCATCAAAATGTGTAAATTAAGCTAGGATGTAGAAATGAAGTAGGAAGGTACTGAAATGTATTGCGTAAAATTATTTTAATTACTTTCAGATTGAAAGATACAACATCGTACATAAATTTAGCACGTGTAATTGCACAACGTTGTTTGGAGTGTGGAATAAATGAGGTTTATATTGAGAAACAAAACATATCTGGGGAGAAGGAGATATTATTTATGGAAGAAGTTGAAAAAAATGGAGTCATTTTAGAGGAACCAAAGAGATACATACATTCAACTGGTTCAGTCCCATTCCGTGAAGAGAAACCTTGGGAAAGTTTTGAGTAGTTTCTACTTGTTTAGGAAGGATTAATAAAAGGCGTGTTAAATATAAAAGTAGATGAAGGTTTTATTTTATTTGGAATGTAGTGGAACTCTCAATAAACTTACATTGGACTGCAGTTTTTATAAATTATTCTATAAAAATCTATATAAACGTGCGTAATCGAATTATGTTATAAACATTTGAATTGGATTACGTTTATGCAGTTGATGTAAATTACCTCTTTTAACTAACAAATTTTATCTAGAAGTTTTCTAAAATTAAAGGTTGGTTAAAAAGAAATAGAAGAAAGAAATATTTTTTGCCTTTACGTAACTTGATTTCGTTTTATTTGACCTTTTTCTTAACTTGAAGTATGAAAATTTGTACATTGTACACTACATAGGGACAGTAATAAATAATTGTATCAATACTAAATAAACATCTAACCTATGGTAAATACATCAAAGTTATAATGTATGAAAATGTTAAGTATATCTGTGCAGAATTCATTATTGCTACAATAATAATCATTAGAATACATTAATGCATATTGAAAATATGATTAGGCTAACTTATATTAATAAGAAACAGTTCTTGATAAACATAATACTGCACTTGTAATTTTATTATTATTACAATTCGGAGTAATAATGTTTACATAGTTTCAAAGTTATTGAACGCTTCACTTGATGTTGTCAAATGTGTTAAATCACAGATTGTCAGTCATTTGTTAGTACTGTTTCATTGACACACAAATAAATATATTAATAATTACATAACTAATTGAGCGTAGTGTCAATTTTTGTTTACATGTTTTATAGGCCGCTAAGGACATTGATTAATATATTCACTAGTTAATTAATAAATATGTGTCTTATAAATATACAATTACTTTGCAAAATACAGAAAATATATATCAAAATTTAGAAAGGTGGGTATTGCAGTTGTATTAAATATTTTGATTAATGAGAACCATTGTAGATGAACAAATATAGTTTGTTTCTATATCTACTATCCTTTCGCAGATGCAACTTTATTTCAGTAGCATTATACAAAAATCTAACGAGAGATTGCACCTATCTTGAAGCTAGAGTTGGATATTTTTAACATTTCATTCGAACAAATATTCGAATAGTTGATGAAACACGAAGTAAGGAAAGTAATGTAATGAAGTAAGTAAAGAATTTAATACTGTATTTTCCTCATATTACGAAACACCGTTTATATAAATATTCAAATTGTTTAATCTTATGTCCAAACAATAAGCAGTGTTATATTTTCAACAAAATTAATTTCATGGAATTATAGAAATATTTCATTCAAAACAGATCCTTTTTAAAAAAAAGAAACCTAAGAGTGAAATGTAGCTTGTAAATAGCATCGGATATGTACGCATATTATTGCAATAATTATAGGTGTAGTTGTTATTCTTTTAATAACGAAAATTCCCTTAATACGTCTACAATATACACGAAGTTGAATTGCAAAGATCAAACCACGCTTTTAAAATGTCAATGTGATTATTTGATATTTTATTTGCAAGTGTGAATATCTATGCTTTTAACACAAGTTTTACATTCAACAAAACAACACCAATGAAATTTGCATTCACATCTTTCCCTGATAGTCGATTTTTGTGTGTTGTAGCCCCTACCACAACAAAGTAGATTACATCCATCCATACCAGATGATGTTCTGTTGCAAATTCTGCCATGTGTACCTATGCAATAAACATTTTTTGGTTTAACTAGGGTCTGCTTTGTAAATATATTACTATATAACATAAATTCGTACAATGATAATTTTATTAGATTTAATTCAGTTAAGTATGTTAAAATAAATATGAAACACTTTAACATAGCAACTTAACATAAAATTCTGGTTTTTTAACTGTCATACAATAATTTGGAAGAGTAAATGTCTTAAAGCTTTTACATATTATTTCTTCACTATTCTCTATCATTGGAAAGATGTACAAATATTATTAATGAGATAAGTTACCTAAAGATCCAAATGTTTCATTATGAAGACAATAATTTGGCGAATCATCCAAATAAACCAAATCATTTGCTGTGGGTAATGAAAATCGTGGGTCTCTCATTGATAGACGACCGCGTCTGTTTACTCTAACTTCTGTTGCACCATCATATTTATCTAAAAGGAAATCACCTGCAAATATTAAGCACAATCATTTAATTAGTACTTTCAGTAAATTATGTTATAGAAAAATTCTGTTTCAAATACGAAATATTTGTTACTCGATAGTACGGAACCCAGATAGCCCATGACGCCTAATGATGCCTCGAAGACAGCTTAAAGGCGCCTTATATCTAAAAGAGCCGTAAAATGGGCGTCTTTGAAGCGTCATGTGTTATCTGGGAAAATACAGTTTCTTTTCTGTATTTTCATCTGTATTAATACCTGACTGAAAGAATATTGAAAAATTCGTCGAAAAAGGAAAAACGATTAAAGAAAAGTATTAAATAGAAAATAAAGATACCAATTTCTCGAAACGATGCTAGTTGCTGCCAGCAAGTAATCAAACTGCAGCTTCCTGAAACTCCGTGACACTTACATGTCACCTTAGACCTTTTAATAATAGCCTGAAAAAAAAAATTAATAATTCTTGTTCTTTCTATTTTCACTTCTATGTGATATACATAGACCACAATTGTTTGGTAATAAATGTTAATATTACCCTACGACCAGCCTCATTGTTATGAAGATTCATTAGGCTCCTGCCTTGTTCTCTGCTACCTCTTTTGAAGCTGCGTTCGCGTTCTCTTACATCAACAAATGCCTGTGTAAACCTAAAACCATTAGAAAGTACAAAATAAGTTTATCGAGCAGTCTTGACAGAACGACACTATTATATCACTTTCAATAATACTCGTCAAATATACAATTATACCCAGATAACACGTGACGCCTTATAGACGTCCATTTTACAGGTATTTTAGGTCTGAGGCGCCTTTAAGCCGTCTTCAAGACGTCATTTGCTATCTGGGAAGTGATCCTGATTCCGAAAATTTTGTAAGCTTAATCTCAATAACCTCGTCGATGTTTACTACGTTATTAATGGAAGAAAAACTTCAATTCCTAATAAAAACGAAAACAGAAGTATCCCATGGAGAATCCCCAGACACATGACGCCTTGAAGATGACTTAAAAACGCCTTGAACCTAAAATGGGCGTTTTCAAGGCGTTATGTGCTATCTGGGTATTATATTACTTGTAAACAAGTCAACCACTTACTTGTAACCGTATTCGAGATTGTCCCCACAGCCGCCCCAAATCCAATCGCGATCTAGATCTCTGGGTCTGCTACTTCTGGAACAGCCACAGGATGATAACTGGCCATCTCTACAGGATCGGCTGATCGCGTAAACTACTCCAGCGGCTGTGATTGCGTGAACGAATGCAGTCTCCCTGCTGGCTACGAACAGAGAAGAATTTTTCATTCATCAATCTCGTAAGTACGATCTTCAAACAATTCTGATGGCAATAATCCTATTTTATTTAGGGCGATGCCCAAATAGAACATGACGCCTTAAAGACAGCTTAAAGACGCCTTAGACCTAAAATAGCTGTAAAATGAGCGTCTTAAAAGCGTCATGTGCTATCTGGGTGCTGAAATAATTTCATAATTTTTTTTCTTTTTGATATTCGAGCCGTTCACAGGCCAACGTGATTGAAACCACTTTTCTTTTAATCTTTTCAAATTTGAAGTGTCTCAAAACACTTGTTTGGTGTTTGCTCAAGTTCTTATATTTTTATGTTTTTGTCGAGTTAATCACTTTGGCAAATGAACGACTCATTTGTAAGTCTACAGATACGCGGGCATATATGCACCGACCTAATAGAAAAAGAGACGAAACTATCTTCAAAATAAATTTATTGATTCATTTGAAATTTCCCCAGGATCTTCTTAGAAACCTAATGACGATCTGAATTTTTTTCAATTTTATCGACTTGTTTTCATGAATTACATATAGTAGTGAATGGCATCTTCCATAGAAAGTTCAATTGTAAGAAAAAAAATTATTCAAAATTGGAGAACATCAGCGATCTCTATCTATTATTTACATTGTTTGGGCTGAACATTGTCCACCGTCCAATGCCTTAAAAAAGACACAATCTACTTTAGTTAATAAAACTCTTTAATCAAAACTTAGAACTATCTAATTAAAATATATACGTTTATTGAAAAAAGAACATTTTATAACATTTCTTACTTGCAACAAAATTCTTTAATTTTGTATGTTTTTCGTTTTTAGAATTCTACACCTATTGCACAGTCATTATAATTTACAATGATCCTGTTGGCGTGAACGGAAAGTCAAGTGAATTGTGTCCGGCAATGTGTTAAAGTGTTTCGAAAATGCTTCTAAAATGTTTCTTTCGTTTATTTACTCTTTGTTTCGTCGAAGTGAATACCGGCCATAAAAATTGCTTCAGCGTTTCAAAATAGTTCTGGTTTTGTAAAAAAAAACTTTTTCTACAATTATTAAGCTGCGTCTCCACTATACAGCAAGAAAGTGTTATACAATAAATTGTTGCATAACCTTGCTATACAACATGTTTTTATAGCTTGTTACAAGACTATACCTTTCAGACAAGTCTATAACATTATTAATAATGGCGTCACACTAAATGGATAACATATAACATGCTTTTTGTTTTTCTAATAAGTTTTATAACCATGTTATGTTATATAGTGTAGATGCATTTTTAAGCGCGTCTTACCGATTCTAAGTATAGGTCCAAACACAGACTCGTCACGAACGGTCGAGCAATTCCACCTGCGATCACGAAATTGATGTTGACACTCGAGGATACCAAATTTTGCTCCTTTAGCTACACTCGGCATGTGATCCACAGACAGTTGACATAGCTTCCCTTGGCCTTGCGAGAGACCCTTCAGTCCATGGCACACACTGGACGCTGCTACGTCATAGGTCTCTAACATTTGAGCGGTCTCGAGTTGAGGGAAGTGTTGTAAACCGACGTTTCTGATAACACAAAATGATATGTATGTTTAAATATTGGCACGTTTTAGGAAATTTGAACAATTCTTTGATTATTTTTATACCCACATAGCACATGACGCCTAATGACGCCTTGAAGACGGCTTAAAGACGCCTTGGACCTAAAATAGCCGTAAAATAGACGTCTTCAAGACGGCGTGATGCTATCTGGGTAGTGGAACGGTGGGAAATTAATTATACCATACCAGTGAAAAATTTGTGAACCATTTATTGTAAAAGTAATCCTTTGAATTCAAACCTGAGCAAACGCACCATTGTGGACCAGCCCTGATAGACGGATGTTTCCACGCAAAAAGGCATTTAGTATCTACCAATTCAAATGCAACCAGATTTCTACGAATTTCTCACGGCGATCATAGAAATTTAGAGCAATAAGGCCCGATGCAGACGAGCGAGTTTTTTTCGTCCGTTTTGTCGCGCGTTATCGCAGCGGGTATTACACGCTTGTCTGAATGTAAAAGTTCCGTGCACATTTTGTCACAGCGGGCCAGCGATATCCGACAGTCGATTTTCACCCGTCGCGAGCCGTGAGGTGTCGCCGCGTATAAACCCGCTCGTGTGTATTTCCTGATATGTTTCTGTGTACTTCTGAAACGCGCGAGAAATGCCCGCGCGACAAAACTCGCTCGTCTGCATCGAGCCTAAATCGGTGGACGACGAACGGTTCTCCTCCGTGGTACAATTTTTAATGGCACATTTGTCAGCCAACCAAGCGAGATGATGGAACGACGCCGTCAGACAGAAAATCAGGGGTCTCGAATCGGGGCCACCAATCTCAAATTCGAAACGGCTGCTCGTAAACGTTACAGCGTATATGATACGGGGACAGTCGAATGCTTTAATATCGCCAATCAAACACACGTTTCAGCGACTTCTGTGCAGGAGCTAGCGAGCACAGCGCGTGGGAAATAAGGGGAAACGTGGTTTTCTTCTACAGTGACCGAAATTTCTATAAAGTCACCATGTTTTTTGATGAATTCTTATAATTATTCCATCCTTTATTTCGTTTTACGAAAATCAAAATTACGAATATTCACTTTTGCACGATAAATATTTAAAAAGAAAAAACAATGCATATACAGGGTGGTCCAGGTAACTTGTACACTTTAAATAACTACGAAAGTATGCATTGTACAATATGACAAAATTTTTTATACAAAAGTTGCATGGTTTCGAGGGATGCATTATATAGTTCGTATAGTTTTTTTTTGTAGGTGGAGGCGTATCAGAGATTTCATGGTTAACTTCGTTATTTTAAATGAAATGTTATGTTTTTGATGTCAAAATATAGACGAGCGTTGAACTCTAAGTAAAAATGTATTGACCTTTATTAGCTCTGAATCTAATAATTAACGAATAATGTCACCTAGTTTCTTGAAAATGTACTGTGCGTAATATCAAGCTGGAGATTTAATATCAGCAAAGATTTCCGTGAGACCGCGGTGTTTACGTGATAATTTTTATGCGCTCTACAGATTCTTTTAAATTATAGTAAGTGCCATGAAAATGCAATAAAAGCTATACCCATGTATGCCGAAATTTATCCTGAACGAAATCAAGTTGATATTACGCACAGTACATTTTCAAGAGAGGAAGCGAAATTACTCGTTAACTAGTAGGTTTACAGCTAATAAAGGTCAATACTTTTTTACTCAAAATTCAATACTTCTCGATATTTCGACATAAAAAATATAGCATTCTATTTAAAATAACGAAGCTGACCTTGAAATCTCCAAAACACCTGCACCTACAAAAAATATTATATGCACTAGATCATGTATTCTTCCAAACCATGTAACTTTTGTATAAAAAAAATTTTTCATACAATACATACTTTAGAAGTTATTCAGGGTGAACAAGTTGCGTGTACCACCCTGTATAGATATAAAAGTAAACACTGCGTATCAAGTTCTTAATTAAATAATATTAAATTACTAAGGGCGGTGATAATGTTTTTGCATTTGGGCGGTCAACAACCTAGGAACGGCCCTGTTCCATGGTATACAAGATTGCACTAGGGAACGCATAATAGAGAGCATTAATATTCCGGTACACGTTTCGGTTGTGATATATCATCAGCTTTGCACTCCCCTAAAACAATGACGCAGGGAATCACGGGTAGGGAACGATAATATTTCGAAGGATACGGCCCACGCGAATTCGTGGGACACTGTGGGCTGTGCCGTCCCAAAAAGTAATGCGTTGTGTCTCTTAAAAGATTGTAGCAACAATCGTATGGCTTCATGTACCGGGTGTTTGATAGCGAATGAAGAAAAATGAAAACTTTTGAAAATTGAATGAAGAAAAAAAATGGAAACTTTGGTAGTTAGGTTGATTTTGCTACCTGTTAGTTTGTTAACAATCATTTCAGTGCTGATATATTTTGTTAAAAACTTAAATAAGTTTGTTAAAGTAATGGTAATTATTATATTACGAATGTTTATGTAAATCAATATTATTGTAAAAGTAATCTAATAAGGGAAAAGCTGAACAGAGATTTATCTCTGTCAATAAAGCTTTTGTTGAATTTGGGTATAAGACAGAAATGTTGTTAAGTTCGATTAGTTTGTTGTTGTACTGTGTTATATGATTCACATTTCTTACAATCATTAAGGGTTTTGTTAACTTACTCTTTAACGTAACTTACTCTTAGTCTCTAATCACTACATTTAACGTATTTTACAAAATCTATTTATTTGATTATTTTAAATCGTTGTGCATCTTGACTTAATATTGTACGTCAACGATAATACAAAAATTTTATGATAAGTGCTTTTTAGCTTTAATATTACTTTAGTTGAGATATCATTAAGAAATACGCCACAAAAATATTTATTTTCGTATGAATACAATTTTTGGGTTTTTCGTTATCTATTTATATATCTAATTGTTCTTATATTTCGAATGTATATTTTTAATTACGAGTTTTATACTCACAAGGGAAGACACCCAGATGTTAAACTAGTTTTGAAAAAATAATGATAGGTAATTTATCTGCTAAATCGGTGGTTAACCCATGTGTAGACAATCTAAATTTCTTTTCACAATGTTGTATGTTCTTCTCTAAAGCAGCACTTGGTATCTTATAGGAAGGGAAAACTAAGAGTTTCAGAAAAGCACGAAAGCAAAATTATCTATGTTTACCTAATCCGTCAGAATAGGAGTACAGACGCCTCTCCATTATCGTCCGTCTTGTTCTACACGATTATTGTCCAGGCATTATCCCCACCACTGGAGGGGGAGGCCGTGGGACTTGCTAAACGCATACTTTGTTGCCCGTCCGCTTTTGGAAAAAAAAACGAATTTACGAGAGTCTGAAACATTTCCCCCTATTTGATTATTGTCCCGGCATGGACCCGAGTTTGGGACGATAATCGAGAGGAGTCTGTTTTCTGATTGCTCAATAACCGTGAATATTTCGGTTACCTACACAAGGGTTAATGTATTAATACACTTCCGGATGGTAAAGTGTCGAGAACAATAGAACCAATTGGGACAAGTCCAATCTCAGATAGCACATGACGCCTTAAAGACGCCCATTTTTCGGCTATTTTAGGTCTAAGGCGCCTTTAAGCCGTCTTTAAGACGTCATGTGGTATCTGGGATGAGTCCTGTTAACCGACAAGCTCATAACTAGACTGCGGATTTTATGCATTCATAGCACATACGATACTCTAGAATTTAGGTTTTTGATAAATTTAAAAGAAATTTTTATTTTTTTTGGAACCTGTTAGAAAAGTAAATAAAGTAAACAGATCCTAGTTTGATTCTAGTTTCTGTAAACTAATTCTCGAAAATTTATATTTGCATAAAAATCCGCAGACTACTAATAACAAATTAACAAAAATGAGAAGTCTCATTGAGAGTCGCATACAACGGCTGATATACGACGTAGCCACGGGCGTCTCTCCCGTCGTACTTTCTTTTCACGTGGGCCGAGAAAAAATGCCCCGACGTCACCCTTTTAATCTGGCCACTTCGATATCGTCGCGATTCACGTTGAAATAATGCCCCGTGAATGCCGGCGACGTGAATCAATTCATTCTGAATGTGTGTGCTTGGAATCTAATCTGGACACGGGCCCTTAGCCGTGACTTAAGGGGTTGTTACGTTGATAGCGGAGGGTAGATTAGTAGAGTAATGCGCGTTTTTATTCGGTCCGTGTTGCGTCATTATTACCACGACACACCTTGGAGTTGATCTCTTTTGAAATTTCTGTTGGACCTATTATGTAGAATTGCAATGGAAAATAATTCTGAAAATAATTCTACCATTTTAGAATTAACAACTAATACATAACAAAATAAAATAGAAACAGATCTCAATTTTAAAAGAGTTTTTTTACGGTTTTTATTTAGCGTCACATGCAGGGTGTCTCAAATATAAGCAAAATTGCACAGTATGAAGAGAGCCATCCGATAGCGCTAATAGGATTTTTGTAGGTGGAGGTACTTTGGATATTTCAAGGTCACCTCCATTTTTTTAAATGGATCGGTATATTATATATATATATATATATATTCCTGGGATGATTTGAAACAACTTTGTCCTCAGTAAAAATGTTATCCGAGGCTTTGTTAACGAGATATTAACGAAAAACCCCGACCAATCAGAACGCGAGAACTCGGCTGACAGACTGGCGTTCTGAGATTTATCAGCCAGTCGTTAAAGAGTTAATATAGATTTTTGACAGAAAAGCGATCATTAATTTTCCATATGATCTAATAGAAAATATGTACAACGGTACGCAATTTTTAAGAGCCTCGAAATTTCTTTTCGGAATTGCATAAATGGTTCTGGCCTGGCCGCACACGTAGACGCGTTGATTCCAATCTAATTAGACTGTGATAAAGGTAGAATTAAGATGACTATATTAAAACCATCGAGTTCTTAACATAAGCGCGGGTAAGAAGGATTAACTATTATGGAGATGCTTCGAGGCCCGCCCATGTGATTAGGCATTTTTTTTATCGGGGTATGCTTACAGGAGAGATTATAAAGAAAAAGAAAAGTAGTAATAATCCGGAAGGATCGTGACAACGTGTATCACCGTCGAAGGTTTTCCTTTGTTTCTACAGGGTGACTCAGCTAACTTAATAACTTCACGGTACACTTTATGAAAATTTTGAGGCGTGGAACTTAAATGGCATCAAGGGGCACATCTTATATAGAGTACGTGCTTTTTTGTGGATGGAGGCATTTTAGAGATATCAAGGTCATCTTGATTTTTTTTAACGGAATGTCCCAGTTTTTGTACTACAGATCGATAGAGTATCAAATTCTGAGTAAAAATTTGTTGACTTTCATACGTCCTAACTCTAATAGTTAACGAGATATTTACAAAACAATCACTGTATTGAACTTGAGGGGCGTCGGTTCGAGCACCAAATAGATTTAATTAATATACAGAAGAGATATTAACGAAAAACCGTGGCCAATCAGAGCGCGAGTCTGTCCGAGCTTCCGCTGCAGTGTTGAGTACGCGCTGCGATTGGTAGCCAACGTTACCGCGGAAGCTCGGCCAGACTCGCGCTCTGATTGGCCGGGGTTTTTCGTTAATATCTCGTTAACAAAGTCTCGGATAACATTTTCGCTAAGGAAAAAGTTGTTTCAAATCGTCCCAGGAACCTCTCATTTCCAGGAGTCGAAGCTATTTTGGAACACCCTGTATAATCTTCAGAATTTCTCGAAAATCCAATTATGGAGTCGAGCATGAAGGGCCGGCGGCTACCGCAATGGAGGCACCGCGCGAAGAAAAAATGCCACTACGGTGATCCAAGGGGCCATTCAGTGATTTGTCATGGACATGGTAGGGGTGGAACCAAGGGGCGAGAGCCGCAATTCAGGAATTAGACACACCGTTAGCAGGGGGTACGTCGGGAAGTGAGACAGGAGAGGTGTTTTGAAAAATATTCTTTGATCGGGTTCCCACGGCACGATTTCGTTTCGCCGTGTGCACAAAGAGCCATAAATTATGGAAGTCGGCGAGAACGATTGAACTCTCACAGTTTGATTATCCACCGTATTCGTCTAATATCAGTCACGTCAAACTAAGTCCTGTTACCCCAAATTAAAAACAAAGACAAAAAAACAACAATCTAAAATCATTTTTACATTCACACGGCTTTAGCGACTGCTTTCTCCAAAAAATTTTACCAGATTTTTTTTCTAAGCTTAGAGTCGCATCAACTACAATGTTATTAGCGACTTGATACGTTGTTTTATATACAATATTAGTGTATTCGTTGCGTTAGTATTATGGTATTATGGAATAATGTGCTTTGTCTTTGGTTTATATTTCTTTGAATAATTTAACTGATTTGAGAAACTTTATTATTTTTCGATAGTTTTTCTCGGCAGTGCGCGCTGTTTTAATATCCGGGGGATTTTCCAATTTCTGCGTTCTTGATCGTATTTCCTGCATTCTAGTAATATGTGCTCTACAGTTATCGTTTCTTTTGCAGATTTCGCATTTTCTTTCGGGTTTTCTGTCCAAGAGGTATTTGTGTGTGTATTTAGTACAAAGGTATTTTCAGTTATATATTATCATGAACGATATATCCCTTCAGAAAGAAACCACTTGCACTGATTATTGATAAAAAGCGTGAATGTTATATGAAAAATTGTTGTCTTAACTTCAATTCGGAAATTCTTACGACAAATCGTGTTTTTAATAAAACCTGTTATTACTAACAAATTTAATATCAGGAACATATCTCATGCTCTCTTCCTAATAACTAGACTGCGAATTTTTATGCAAAATTACATTTTCTAATGTAATTTATACAGGCCAAAGCAAATGTAGGGTTTTCATTCTTCTCTTATGTATCTTATTGGGTTCAGAATAAAATAGAAAACTCATTCTGTCTCACGAAAGTTTTGTCATTTATTTAATTTCACAGAGCCCAAGCTATAAATACATAAAATCCGCAGTCTACTATTTAATTAAACTATTATTTAAACAATTCTCGTTTAAATAAAACATAAAGAACAAATATCTGCGGATCAAACAATTTATTTGAAATTTAGTTTCACTCTACCCCTGTTATTTGTAATTTTCATTTCATTAACTAACAGTTCTTAGAAAGTTACAAGAAAATACTTACATCCATGTCCCTGGTATCGTCGATGCTGCGTCGGTGAGTAGTATTCGTATAATAATAAGTAACGTGCAGCAAATCGCCATTTTTCTCTGAAAGCAAATTCAACGTGAGTAATGATGGAATTTTTCTGTTGATTATTATGAATAAATTTTCAGTCGATTTTATAATAAAATAGTTTTAGTAACATCAAAAAATATATTGTTGAATTTGTAGTGACTACCCTGAATGTTGTTAGCAGTCAAAATTACAGACATATTATATTATATAATTTACGCAAATTATGTTTTCGATTAATATCTGTACTTCGAAATGAAACAATAGTTTTAAGTAGACTCCAAGCTAGATGAGATAGTTTTCAACGTCTAGAGAAATGTAGGCGATACTTCTAACGGGGGGAACGTTTTTTGCTGTTACACTGGAAGATGAAAATACTTATACGGATGTGTTTTGTAGTCCACCTATCCTCCATTAAAAGAAGAAAAACCGTAGGTGCCTGTTTTTGGAATGTAGCTCAAATAAAGAGCATCAAAGTTGGTTAAATATTGAGTGAAGTAGTCCTAAAAAATTTGGATTACGCAGTTCAGTATTGTTGTAATAATATAAGTAATATTTATTTCAAGTGAAACGAAACATTTATTTATTTTTAATGTCGAAAACCATTCATAAAAGTTCTACCTCGAAAATACGATCAACCATGAAAAAAGCATTATTTGCGAATTGCGATCTGCGATACTTGAATAATATGGACAATAATAAAACGCCCGATGGAAAAACATTTTACAACGGAAATCGAGAGATGGTAAAATGGTCGAGTGCCTCACCCGGTATGCACAACCAGTACCTGAGCGTGCATAAGGTACGCGTATACATATACATATACCAGTTCTGTGGGTAGTAAGCACGCCGAGGGACTCGGCTCGGAACGAAAGACACCTAGGTCCAGACGATTATGGTACATCGATTCGACATTACACCTTGCTCGCTCCTGAAGCGACTCATGGCGAGACACCTCGGATTCTTGCTCCCTCAGCCGCGGCCAAGAGCCGCGTCGAGCAGACCTAGGCAAATTTTCTTTGAAATAAAACAAGAAATACCTATTTGAAATAACTTTCGATAACGCTTTTTTACTCACACGGGAAGGTACGGAAGTGTCCCCCTCCGATTTTGATGAAACTTCGTATGTCTGTTAAGCAGTCAAAAATAGGGGATACGTTTTTTTTTTACGGTTGAGACGCGACTGTAAGGGGTGAAACCACCCCTCGATGTTTCGACCCGAAATTATTATCTCGAAAACCAGAGGAGATACATGAAAACTTCTAATGGACGAGGTTTGCGTTTTTTTATGTACAATAATATGTTGCTTACAAATTGTTCAAAATATAATTTGTTTATAACAAAAAAATTTCGGATTGAAACTTCGAGGGGTGGTTTCATCCCTTAAAGTCGCGCCTCGGCCGATTAAAAAAAAATATGTATCCCTTATTTTTGACTGCTTAACAGACATACGAATAGAGATGAATCGATACAAGTAAATACGAGTACATTACTCGATACTTTTGTTTCGATACCGAGTATTTTTGGTATCGATACGTACGGTTGCGATACCAAGTAGGTATCGAAAAAATGTAGGTACTCGTATCGAATGGAGTGAGTATCCACTCATCAACATTTGATACTGCAATTACTTTCAACACAAAAGAATGTTGTTTATATTAATAATTAAGCAAAGTGTATTTAAATATTTTCAATATTAAAATAATATGGGTATATATGGTTAGGTGTGAGCTTTCAAAAATGATATTTTCAAATACAGAACAAGTTTTCCTGTATTGTGTCCTGCAGCATCTCCATATACCATCTATGTTATGCTTGACATAACCTTGTTCAATATGCATGCTACCTCCCCAATGAAGTATTAAATATGTAAGTAAGTACGGGAAAATTCTTAGGTTGGTTCTAGACCTGGGCAAATTTCATTTGAAATGAAAGTAAGAAATAACTATTTGGAATAATCTATTTCAATACTGTTATTTGAAAATAAAAGTATTATCGATTTATTTGACATAATAGCAATTTCATATAATGAATTGTTTTGTTATTTTTGAATTTAAAATTTGGCAAAAGAAATAATAGTCCAAATAATATGCAACAGAAACATTTTATTCGAGGAAATCTTTACAGCAATTTACTTTAAGCAGAACCTGCTCTTCAAAATGTTTCTGTTCCTTAAATGGTGTTTGTTCATTAACACATTAGCTGCCATACTTATTTTCCCTCGTTTATTTCGTTTTTTTAAGTAATAAATCGTCGAAAATATATACGTTTTGCTAATAAAGGCTGTTGATCTCGTTTTAAATTCTACAGCGTTATTAGTTTCATGTAAAATTTGTTTAACGGTGTTTAAATAATCCAGTCTCTTTGCAATGTAGATACTTGTCACCTATATTTCGGTGATGTGGCAGTCAAAATGTTAAAAATTTATTCAAAAGGATTTCAATGATTTTTGGGTATGTCGTTGGGGACGTTATTCTGAACAATTGTTTTTTTCTATTCATGTAACTTCAGCTCGGCCTTCGCCATTATATGATATTTTGCTGTTTATAAAATATACGTTATTTCGTCGTATGAAAAAATAATGACGCAATATCTATTTTCAGTGTTAACCACACACCCAATATTCCACCAAACATAAGTTTAGGTTTAAATATCTAAAAAGAAAAACGTAAACTAATTTACAAGGAAAGTAATTTACATAAAAACCCACAGTCTACTAATAAGATTGCTATCCGGTCAGTCAAGCGTGATCAAATTATCCACTTTCGAAAATTGCTTTATTAGAATCTCCTGTAAATGGCGGCCATTTTTCGCGGGACTAACAGCCTGTTAGGTAACAGGTAACTGTTATGAGTAGACTGCGGATTTTATGTACATATTTATAGCTTATAGGACTCTGTGATGTACAATAAAAGACAAAAATTTCATCAAATGCCACATGCTTTCCGTTTCATTTTTATTCCAATAAGATATTTAAGGGAACCAAGAAATTTCTATCCTTATTGTTGTCTTTATGAATTACTTTATATAATGTTATTTTGCATAAAAATCCGCAGTCTAGTTATCAGGCAGTTTCTCTGGTTCGTGACAGGCTGATTAAAATCATCCCAGCGTGACCAAATTGAAGAATTTTGAAGGAAAATGGCGGACTATACTGTCATGGAAGTGGGGGAAAGTAATGATGTCACAACTGTAGCGTTGCAATTGGTTACGACACTTGGCTGGACTTGAAGTCGGCCTAGTGATAGGTTGTTATGCCCAATCAGCCAAACCTGCAAAGCCAAATTTTGTCTAATGCCCATTATAACGTCATGGTTACAAGATTGATGCAAGATTCGCTATAATCCAACTTGCATGCACACTGACAGCAACATAGGCAGCAAATTGACAGAAATATATGCAGCAAATTGGCTTGCACAAACCTTGCCCCCAATTTGACATAGGTTATGTTACAAGACTTTCTGCCAATTTGCTTTACCATTTTGTCAGCTGGCGTTGCCTGCAAAACCCAAGTCAAATGCAGAAACAGATGGCTATGGTTTTTTAGACTACTTTTGTCATTTAATGCTGGCAATTTGCTCAAAACATGTACACAACTGGTTATCATGGTGGTTGTCAGTACTTTCCCCCATTACCAAGATAGCACCATCCGCTATTTTCCCTCGTTGAGAGATTTTGCTCGCCACGCTGAATCATCCTTAGAGAGTCCTTGGGCAGGCTGAGCGATTTCGAAATGTAATCCGATAGCGGCTCAAAAAGTTCCGCTACTAGTTTTAGAAAAGACGAAATGAGCACGATCGCTCATTAAGCATCGGCCCCGGTTATGTAAATCAAAAAACGTTCGGTCCATTATGGCGCATCGATCCATCCGTTATATACACCTTGCTGCGCCACGATGGGTGGTTGTTGCTTTCAGGTTTACCTGCTACGACTAGTTAATGTATGCCGTGGAGCGAAGTTACCAGATCGTAAATTATCTAAATTCTGATCCTGTCTCGCTTTAATTTCAACCAGGTGATCGCATAAGAAATTAAACGAGCTTGCGCGAACAGGAGCTTTTTTAAGGGAAGCGTCATCAGTGCAAGGAGAAATAATGGTGTAATACTGGAAGGACAACTTTGACAGTTCAACAAACCTTTAACGGGTTACCCTTACCTCTGCGACAATCATTTCACCGACAATGTTTACTCATTGATGCCAAGTTCTAGTGCATAGAATGATTCTTATTTTCATTAAATCACTGACAATATGTGTTCCTATATACATGTATAGAGGGTGTCTCAGGTAACTTGATCACCTCGAATAATAAGTTAAAGGTAGGCTATATGGAAATTTTGAGGCGTGGACTTAGAAGGGGAAGACAGGGTTGTGGAAATCGCTTCTGGAACGGCACTATGTGGAAGTTATAGTACACATATAGTGTTACAAAACCCTCATGGTTTTCTTCAAAATGGGCCTTGGGTCTTTAGATACTTTTGTTTAAAGTTTTGCATGTGTCCAGTAGTCTGGTTAGATAAAACGCTTCACCAAGAAAGTGTCATGGTAACGACGGTAGAGTACCTGTTTACCACCCTACGGGATCCGAGTTCGAATCCAGGAGACGTACGAATTTTTATTTCCATTTTTTTCCCTCTGTTGTTGTCTTCTTTCCTTTCTTCTTTCTTGTTTTAGTATTAAATATTATATACTAAATATTATGTACTATCTTATACAAATTTTATGATTAAAAATGCATTTATAAGAGTATTCTCATATTTATATACTGCAAAAATATTTTTCTGCATGAATTCTTGGAGCCGAAAGTTTTAATGCCTATTATATTGTCAAGTAGAATTGAGGTAATAGTCAGGGTAACTATACGACTGCACATTTTATTCGCAATTTTTGTGATTGTGAAATCTGACAACACTCTTGAACACCCATTCCTGGATGCAACAAGGTAAAAGTTCACCAGAAATTTTAAAACGAAGTATCATAGACGGCTCAAACGGAGCGCTATCATCCATAGTTTCTCAATATGTGGACTTCC